TAAAATAAACGTTAGTAAAACTTAGGATCCTTACAAGCATACCGAAGGAAGAGATTTCAATCCGCCAGATTCCAGCAAACAGACAGGACCGCTTTTTTTCACTGGTAAACTGTAGTTACTCCTGGAAATTTCGCCACTGTTTCTGGAATTATTCAGCAAAATTCAATGAAATCCATCCAAAGAATTATAGCAGAGACTGGTTTGAAGCTTTCCACCATGAAGAAAATAACAAGAAACAGCCTAGACATGTGTCCATTCAAAATCCAAAGTCACCAAGCCATACCCATATGAGCTGTGCAACAAAGGGTTGACTTTGTGAATTGGATTCTCACAATGATTGATAATAAAGAATTTGAAGTTGTCTGTGTCTGGTTTACAGATGAGGCACACTTCACTTGAATGGATTAACAATAAACAAAACTGTCAATTTTGGTTTTTCAAAAATCCCCATTTGTATTAAGTGAAACCACTGCATTCTCCAAGTTATTGTTTGGGCTGCAGTAAGCAGCAGAGGCATTATCGGCCATTTTGTCATGTGAGAAATAATCATTAGTGAATGTTGCATCGCAATTTAGTGACAGTTTGTTGCCATTCAGCTAGTATTGGATGATGGACCAGAAACCGAATGGTTTATGTAAGATGGAGCTTGACCACATCACACTGAATAAGTGGTTCACTTTCTTGATGAATACTTCAAGAATAGAGTCGTTGCATTGGATTACTCCAAATTTACTGATGCAGGCATGGATTGGCCTCCATGTTTAGTAGATCTAAATCCTTGTGACTACTTTTTATGGGGCACTGTTTACCAGAAACATCCCATCATGCTGGGTGAATTTGAATTGTTGATCAATGTACATCTGAATCCATTTCTATTGATGCAGGATGTGAAAGTAAATTTCATTATTCATTAGTGTCACCTCTGTACTGTGAGCAATGGTCATTTTGTAAAGACTGTCATGTGATTGCAAAAACTGCCTGTAGAGGACGAGTTTATTTATGCATATTGTGATACAAGCTGTACAGCTTACAGCATCATCTGTTGACAGCTTTTTAACTACAAAACTTCTGCATAATGATCTTACAGCATTCATAATAAATATACCGCTTATTGTATTCCTGTAGCAATTTGCTTTTGAGATTTTTTATTTTGAAATCAGGGACTACTTTGCTGGACATCCTGTTTATATCAGTAGATTTAGTGATATTTCTGCTTGAGTAATAAAATGAAAATTTCTCTTTAAATGTGCATATAATTTACAGGAAGTGGTTTTAATTATTTAAATTTTATATTTGTAGATTATAAGTTAAATGTAGGTAACTTTATTTCATTTACCAATTAATTAACAATAAAAAATGGTTAATTTAAAAACTATGCTTTACATATACATTTTCAAAGTTGTGAAAATGTCATTGATTCGTTGACTACTGACAAGTTCTGCTGTAGGGTGAAGTCTATGGATTTACAGAGAAATTGTAGCATGTGCCATATAGTCTGCCTTGTCACATTTTCTTTCTCTTATGGGATAGGCTGTCAGTTTTTGAATAGCTGATTATCACTTCACTGCAGTTTATATAGTGGTACATTGTCTTTTGGTATGATCCAGTGGAGAATGCCTCAGATTTTTTTCATTATATTCTGTGCTTATATATTTGATTTATTTTGATTCCAAACATATAGTCTTCTGTATTCTGTAATTTATCAAATGTTTCTATAACTGTTTTATTGTATCAATGAATATGTTAGTTTCATGAAGTTTTAGAATAACGTTCCTTGACCATTGTGGAAATCTCAATGTTGATGGTGCTTTACACTTAGTTGATCATCAGTAGAAAAGTTTGCATGATTAATTAAAATTATTACAAGATGCAAGCTTTAATAATTTAAATTATCCTTAAAATGAATTACATTCATATTTATAACATGCATTATTCAAAAGAAAATTTTTTTTACAGCTTAATGTTCAAATTTTTTTCTTTCTTTTTTCAGTCTCTTTTTCCTTTTATTGTGAATGTCAGCAGATGGAAAGAATGGGATCCTTTATATTGTTCCAAGACTCTCCATGTAAAATCCTTCCAATGTCAAAACATGTCCAAAGATCGGTACATGATAGCAGATGAAGTGGTAGAGACAGACAGCCATGGTCAGTCTTCTGTTATGTATAGGTAGGAAAACTTTCTAAGTTTTAGAAAAATTTCATATGCTGTGTTTATATTTGTACACTCAATCTATGAGAAGATGAGAAGTAACAAAACACAGTTAATCATCTGTTGTGTGGGAGTAGAAAAATTTTTGCAAATCTTAGAAGTATGCCTTATTTATTTGTGCATATGTACAGTGGCTTAGTCATCTGTTATATGGCAGTAGGATAACTATTGTAAATCTTAGAAAAATGTTTTGTGCCTTATTTGTACATTTATACAGTCACACATCGATATATGTGTGCTTTAAAACAAGTCTCTTTATATCATGTTTGGATGCAGACGTTTTTGTTTGGAATATGATTCAAGTTCGATAAGTCATGACTGTGCACACTACTCTTGTTTACAGCTTTTGAGACAATGCTCTGGCCAATTTTGTATGAAAAATTCATTAGTAAATGCACGCTAATCACTGATGCCAAATCTGTGCCAAAAAATGTACGTGAAAAAGTTTGCAGAGAAGTACTATCCTGACTATTTCAAACAAGCTGTAACAGCATTGTCTGGAATGACCAAACAATATTACATTTTCAAAACATCCTAAGGAAAATGACCTTCCCTTTGTATCTTATTTGAAAAGTTTGTTCGGTATAGTTTCTGTTTATTTAAGTCCAAAGATCTGGAATCAATTAACGATGTATACTGGGATACCACTGTGGATAAGAGAGAGGTTTTATGTAAATGTTTGCATAAAGCCAATTAGCAGCATACTCTTAATGTAAAAGATAGATGTTTTTGTCATAGTCTTCAAATTTTGTGTATTTTTGTCCACCTCATGTAAGAGATTGTATTAGCATGTCAGCAAATTTTATTGGTACAGTTGGTTGTTTGATGTGGAAGTAATTTCTTTTTTCACTTTTTGGGACTTTGCAGTTAGCTGTTGTGAGTGTTTTTAAGTTAAAAGAACCCCCCCCCCCAAATGCTGTGTAACAGATGAAATGCTAAGAAGTGTGCGATATTCAATATACCTATTAGGAATATATTAGGAAAGCTATAGTACAATGGTCTCACACTCGACGCATGGGCTGAATGCACGATCTGAAAGCAGTTGACAAACCATTTTTTTTTAAATAAAATAAAATATTCTTAACTAAATTTTAGATTTTATTTACTAAATATTTATCTAGCAGTAACAATAACTCAAAATTCAAATTTATACTTATTTGTTATCTGAAATCTAAAGGTTGGTAACTCTAAGAAATTTCTGTTGGTTATGCTTTATAATTCAAATGTGTTGAAAGCTACATATTAAACTTTCAGACTGATATTTATTTCAGATAATTCTAATATATTGAATTAGTCACTAACTTTTAATTGAAAACAAAGTTTGAGAGTAAATAATAACAACAACACTCTTTTTTTTATTATTTATTAAATTTTTCTTTAATGCATGCAGAAAAAAATACTTACATTTGTATGTAAATATTTATAAACTTCTTTATTTCTTATTACAACTTTCAGCTATAACATTTCTTGGCATTTCTATTTTGACAAATTTTGTGACCTTGAAGAAAATTGCTAAAAACTATTCCATCACAAATTGTGGATATTTACCATTCAGTCTGGTTCTTTTCTTAGATTTATTCATTTCCAACTGTGGAAAAAATACTCTTCACATATAAATGCACTTCCAAACAAAATGATTTTTCCTATCACAGAACTTAACTAAATGTATTTATCTTTTGACAAGTACAAAATAAAACTAATCAAATCTTTAATAGATTTGAGAATATAGATTTACATAATAGTGTAAATTAATTAGGTTTATCTGTAAATTTTCTGGAGGCATTACTCACATTCATCTTTGGTAATGAAAGCAATGCAAAACTGGACTCAAATCATTAAAATCTTGCACTTTTTCTCCAAATTCTTATCATTAAAACTACTGCCATGATGATGCTAATTAATTTACAGGAAATGTAATCCGTGGGCCATTTAAAATTCTTCGAGGACCGCATGTGATCTGGAGGTTACTAGTTTGACACCTTTGTTCACGTGGTGAACCTTTTAAGAGGTGAATTTAAATTTTTAAGTGTCCTTACTGACAGTAAAAAATAGCCCGATAGAAAACATCAATCTCTGAATCAGATGGTTAATATTCTAGATGCATAAAAACATTTCTGCATCCTCATAAAATAATTACTCATTTGCTGATTCGACAAATTTATTTTCTTTCATACAAACCTATGATTTTATATTTCTAATTACATTTTCTAAATTCATTTAAATTGCTAATATAATTTGCAGATGTCTAAATTTTCTTGCCCATTATATAAATTTAGGGTATATTTCCTTTATGCACCTGCCACAAATTTTGATTTTATTTATAGAGAGAGAGAGACAATTTGCCCTGAAGGACTATTAATTTCATTTTGGCATTTTGCATTGAAAACTTTAATAGGCTGTATCACTTTTCAAATCATTATCACCATATATTATTGTTCTGTCTTATATTGAAAGAAATTAAATGATAAAGAATGTGCATGTATGTATGTTTCTCGTATTGTGATAAAACAACAGTACCTAGAGCCATCGGAATTTGAATAACGTAACCTTCCATAGAATATGGGATGTGGAAGCCCTAATTTGAATTTGAAATTTATTTTATTACTAATTTCAGATTTTGTAACACTTCAATGAATTTTTGGTTAAAAAACTAAATGATTTCAAAGCAAACAATGGCAGCACTGTACAAAAAAAAGTTTTTATCTCCAGCGGACACGACTCTGTATCAAAAATTCTAAAGATATGCTCATTTTAAAATTAATTTGTGACATTGCTGTTGAACTAAGTTTTATAGTGTATGTAAATCATGATATTTAGTAAATAAAGGTAACACACAAAACGTTCAAAAAAGCCCCTTTGGACTTAATTTAAAATTTGAAACCTTTCAGATTTTTTTTTTTAATTATAAATTATTTCTGGTTATTGGAATAGTTTGTAGATGCACACACACAATGCCCAAATGGAGATATTGTTGGGTCTTGTCTTTCTTATCTTTTTTTTTTTTTTTTTTTTTTTTTTTTTTTTTTTTTTTTTTTTTTGAGGGGGGGGGCTTCTTTCTCAGAGGCACTAAAAAGCAGAGGTGCATAACAGAAAAGTACAAAATTTACATTATTGAGATAGCATTTTCAATGCAATATTGTTGGCAAATGTAATATGAAGAACAACATGAAAAATAAAATCTTATTTTGAAAAAGCAGTAATTTTTTTTTCAGACATTACCTTCCTTCAATAAATTGAAATCAAGATTATTGATATCTATCTCTTAAGAGGTCTAAAAAAATTTTCAGCTCAGGATAACTTTTTAATGAATTCCTTGTCACTGAGGAATTGATGGTAATGAAAATGTTGATTTAATCATCAAGGAGGAAGATGATTTTGCAAAAACTTAATAAGAACGTTAGCTTCCACTCTTTAAAATTCTTGCCAAATTTAACTTAAAACAGATTTTTCATGCACAATCTTTACAAATTGATACTGAAAAGCCTTGAGACACTGCTAATCAAAGTAGAAAAACTTACTTGCTTATTCACATTTATTTAAAGTAACATATAAAAACTTCATCTTCTAAGTTTATGTATTAGTATGAAGTTTCTAAGCATGTTGTTATGCTGAGTATTACAGAAATTCATTTTGATTTGTCTACTTTATATTGTATTCTGATATCCTGACATAGATTTTTTATTATTATTATTATTATTTTAAAGCGTTTTTCAGAAGCTAATAAAAATTTAAGTACAAAATTGTAAGTTTTAGAACTTGAACCATTGATAATTTTATCAATGGTTCAAGTTCTAAATAAGACTTTGTGTGATTTTGGATGAAATAAATATAAATATGTATACCACTATAGTAAAGTAAAACATGATTTTTTAGTTGACTTCATGTAATAAAGTGTGTGAAACCTAATAGATATCTGTAGGTGATGATCTTATTATGTTAGAGACCATAGTGCTTACTTTTCATAAATCTTTTACAGTAGACTGTTTGCTGTAAAGGTACAGTTAAAATGTTGTTAATTCTTTTCATTGTTAACATAAAATTTTTATAATCATTAAAGATCTTCATTTATACGTTTTTAGATTTAAAATACAAATGATTTTTTTTATCAAAATCTAAGTGTCAGTATATCATTTATTTATATGAACCACAAAAATAGGATTTTATTTCATTTATTTTTATGAATCAATATGAATAGCATTTAAATTTTTAAAAACAAAAAGCCTGTCGTGGACATCGCATGACTTCTTTGTATGGCATATTAAATTACTCTCAGTTTTTGCTGCATTTCATTTAAACTTATTCCCTCGAATTTCATTAGAGATATTCATTCAATTAATTCGGTTCTCACCTTGTAAAGTAAAAATGCATAAAAACCGAAAACATCTTCATTCAAAAAACATAAAACACCAAATACAGTTAAAACTTCCCCCCCCCAATAAAAATTAGAGTTTCTCTGCAAAAATGAGCAATTCCGCCAGTAGGCAAGAAGGCAGATTTTTCAGTTCACAAAACTGAAAGTTTACTTTTGGTACCACTTGGTAAAAAACAGACTTAGTTCATTATTGTACAGAGTTTCAAATGTAAACAAATGGAGGCTCGTTAGGCTTAACTCGCTACTTAAACTATTAAATTGTTGCTAATTCAACAATTATTGCATGCAGATTAACTAAAAGCATAAAAACCTTAACAAGAACATAAAAACCACATAATTTAATCACTTTTAAAGCAAAAAAAAAATGCACTATTTACCAACATATAAGAATTAAAAAACTAAGTTCATTAAGCCAGGTAACAGAGAGAGAATATATATATTTATATTCGATTGGTGCAGTTGATTGCAATGAAAAAGAGAACTGCACAACTATATGATATAGCAGTCCCATATACAAAATTCCAATGTTCTACGGCTATTCATTCTTGATTTATATGAGATACATACAGTTGTCAAGAAAAAAAAAATTCTCTTCTAAATCCATTTATTATCCTTTTTGGCAAAAAAAGTCCTTTATTGTGTCCGTATGTACAGGGCACAATATAGGACTAAATTTTAGGGGGGGGGAATCTATGTTGTTAGTATGTACATTTTTACAGCTGATGCCTACTTCTTAAAGCAAGTAAATCTATGTCTTCTCAAATATATATGCACTTGTATATGTGATTTATTGTCTCATAACTTAAAAATACACAAAAATGGGTAATTTCACTGAACGTTGTGCAACCGGAAATGCAGATGATCAGAAATTACCAACAGAGTAAATTTAATTCATAAATAAAATTGAAAGGTCTTGATTTGTATAAAACTAAATTAAATCTGCAGTTAGCTAAATAATATTTCATGCTGAAAATTGATAAAATGAAATCAGTTATCTCATATTTTTTCAAAAGTAATAAGTTTTTTATTTATTTTTTTTTAAAGAAAATATTTTGTAAACATTCTTTTTATAATTATGCATTATAATGATTCATCAGATGTTCTACTTTTATTTTGTCATTGTTTTCTTCTTCATGTCAGCATTTGCATATGATTTTCATTTTTGAATTACGATAAGCTATTAAAAATCACTAGAATGTAAATATGAACCGCTGTAAATGTTTTTACATAAGAGTGAAATATAGTTTACGCTTGCTATGATAATTTAAGGCACAGGTAACTGAATGCATTTTTGTTACAGGTTGTTTGTTAACTAGTAAATATAAGATTTTTAAATTATTGGATCAGGAGTATTCTGCTTCAGTGTAAAAATTTTCTAAAGTTATGTACTTCCTTGGATATTTACTTTCCTATTCATTTTAATTTATTATTCAGAAATTTTGTGTGAGATTTAATTATTTTTATTTTAGGTTTCAGAGTGCAGAATGGGAGAACATAAGTTGGGTTTTATTTTGGAATGTTGAGAAACTTGAATTTATGTTTTTCTTAATGCAGCCTGCCATTTGTAAAAATGGTATGTTAATTCTGAATACTGTATTCTTTACTTTTAATCTTAAAATATGTAGACTATTTTCCTTCTGTTCTGATGAAACAATAGTTGATTTCTGTGCCCTGCTCATATTTATATATTAATATTGTATAATGCTGTCTCACTTTATTTCAGTGTTAAATGTTTTTTGTAAATGACGAAAATGTATCGTAACAAATGCTAGTAGGAACATTTGAAAATGCAGATCAGGCTATTGAAGAGATGCTGACAACTTGGATCGGAACAAATCAAAGTCATCTAAGTACTTAGAGCTTGTATAAGCAATGAAAATGTGTATTGTGAATTTTTGATAAAAGTTTCACATTTATTTCTTATTTAAATGAAATCTTGCATTACTACCTTTCATGTTCCCTTTGATTTAATTTTCAGTCTTCTTCAAAATATTCAGTGAAAGTCTTAGAAATGATAACAAGACTGACTGGAAAAAAAAAAGGGGGGGAAGCATATTGTCTAGGAATTGTATCTGTGAAAGATTTACACCAAAAAAAGTACAACTGGAATTGGGAACAAAACAGTATTTTGATAGAAATTAAAGGAAACAGCTTGTACTATAAGATATGATTCCAGCAACATCAACGTGATTGAAATGATTTTAAAAAAGCTACCAGAGAAAGGTGTGAAATGCAAGCAAAGTAAATTAGATGGCCTGTACTATAAAATGTCAAGCCATTCATTTAGTCTGAATATCAGTATCATGATATTTTGCTGCCTAACAGGGGCCAAGCTGTTAAAACTGTTGAACGCAAATAAATTGTCTCAGATTCAAATCCATGGCTGGTTACATGGCTGTTTTTATTTACATGTAGTATGAATTTGAAACAATTTAACTTAGGAAGTTCTCCCCAAAGGTATCTTTTATGTTAAGCAGATTGTCCTTATGTGCTTAGCCTAGGTTAATAAACAAACATATTATTCTGCCTGTTATATGTAATCAGGCATGATACTGTGGAAATCTTTTTCTATCTTATATTATTCTGTACATCATTAAAAGTTAACTTTGTTGTAAAATTATCACTACAGTATAATTTTTTATGCTATAATCTATAATTACCATTAGAAATTGTGCTCTAACATTTACCTTGTTTTCTTGATCTGAAATTTAAAGCTAAGCTTTAATTAATATGCAGTGGAACACCATTTATACATTTTTCTCTCATACATCTTTTACATTATCACGTCATTTCATCTTAGTCCCAATTCAGCCTATTTTTTTAATAATAAAATATTTCTTTTATATGTCATGTAACTTTGGTTATACGTCGCATTTGCTTGACTTCCTGCATTGACCTGTCCCAGTTTTCAGGTTTCCCCAGAAATGGGGACAGAAGAAGGAAGCAAATTCATGAGACATCACAATCTAGTACAGATCTGGTATTGAAACCTAGTTCATAAATAAAGGAGATACTTGGATGGAAAAATAAATATGGTTTGATACAAAATGTCACAAGAGCAAAATGCACTTTCGTTAAAACATATAAATCAAATCTTAAAAGAATTTGATAAGAATACTGGTTTGATAAAAGTTCAATTAGCAAAGAAATTAGATTTTTCTATGACAACACTAAAAACAGTTGTTTATGATTTAAAAAAAAAAAAAAAAAAAAAAGTTGAAGAAAGATAAGAAATATGTGGGCAGTCTGCTTCAAAGAAATTACGTGGTCAAGATAGAAAGTTTCATGAGGTTGAAGCCATTGCTAAAATTTTTCATTCAGTGTCACGTATCCAATATTCCAGTGAATGGCTCCATGTTAATTGAGATGTCAAAAGAAATAGCAATTTGGCTAAAGGGAAGGAAGCTTGCATTTCAGTTGGATGGCTGTATTGATTTAAACTGCAGCATGGGATCTCATGTCATAGAATAAATAGGAAATCAAAAGCTGAGTCAGCTGAAGAGTGGTTCAAAAATTTACCCACCAAAACAGATGGATATGAATTAAAAGGCATTTTTTAATGTTGATGAAATTGCTCTTTTTTTATGACCCCTAGTTTTCAAATTAGTAGTACTGCAAGACCCCTACTTTTCAAAGGTGACCAGTGTCATGCACTTAAGCAATGTAAAGAACATCTAACTGTTTTACTTTGTGCAAAGGCTGATAATATAGACCAAATGATTCCATGATTCCTTTAACTGTAGGAAAGGCACAAAAACGAAGCTGCTTAAAATATGTTAAAACTCTGCCTTTAGAATATAAAGCAAAGGAGAAAGCATAGATGACTACAGACTTTTTTTTTTTTTTTTTTTTTTTTTTTTTTTTTTTTTTTCCCTTAAGAATAGCTCTAGAAAATAGACAAAATGCAAAATTTTACTTTTTATGGATCATTGTGTCACCCATCCTCCAAAGATAGATTTCTTACAAAATGTGATGGCCGTTTTCTTTGTGGCAAATTGCACCAGTGTAGTATAACTTTTAGATTCGAGTGTCATTATGAATTTGAAAATGTTCTATAGGTAAAGGTTGATTCAAATAGCTCTTCAAAGTACAATTATAGGAAATATGCAGAAAAATTTAAATAATCTTGAGGCTATAAATATGATTTCACTTTGCCTGGACTGGAACCACAAACAATTAAAAATTCATTTATTAAAGGGGGATTTTTAAACCCAGAGTCAAGTGAAAGTGTTGAAGGTAAAAATTATGATGAAACTGATTTTGGATGAAGAAGAGTAAAAACTACTGGTACTGTATATTACAGTTGAGGAATACATAAATTGTGGTGCCAATATAATGATGTCAGTATTGGGTACAGTTGAAGAAATGATAGAAAACATTTTACCAGATGAACATTTAAATAGTGGGGATGAAGAAGAAAATGAAGAAATAAAATCACCTTCCTTTCAAAGACACCCCTAGACATTTTTTGTGTATACAAATGAGAAAACATTAAGAAATGAATTCGATTCATATTGCTTTGCTTAAGGTTAGAATCAAAAGACATATCAAATGAGAATTAAAAGCTTTTTCTTTCAAAAAAGTTTAATTTTGCTCTAAAATGTTCTCAGAGGAAAAAAACTTACTTATTCAAGATGGTAATTCAGGTGAAGGTAGGACCCCCCTCTCCCTTTTTTTCCCCAGTTTTATGTAACTACATACAGAAATTTACATTCTTATGATTTTAAAAATGTTAAATTTCTATTAAGAATATTTTTGAAATATTAATTAGAAAAATTGTTTAATTGTTTAAAACATTAATAATCATTAAATTTTATTTTAAATTTGTTTAAGCATGTTAATATTTTAAAACAAATGGAAAGTAGGATAATAATATTGTGTAATATCAGTAGTAGTTTAGTGTTATCAAAATTGTGCATCCCGTATATATAGGTTTTACATTGTAAAATATTGTTTCTACATCTCTCTCTCATTTATACATCGTTTGTGAATTGTCCCTTAAAAGATTTATAAATGGTGCTCCACTATAATAATTTTCTCTTGGAGAAAGGAAACTGTTTTGTTTCTCTCAAATCTGTTAAACTTTTTATTTGAAATCAATGCCAAACACCGTTTAATTTTTACTAGTTTAATTATTGAACTAAGAATTGGGATTTTCACTTGATTAATGTATGGGTTCATTATAATTTTTTTTTTCCCTAATCGGCAGTTTAGCTTAAAAGGAGACAGAGGTTTAGTGATACGATAGAGGTTTAGTGTGGTATTTCTATATTTTTTTTAGTTTTATTCTGAATAAATTAAAAATTTCTAAATGTTAATTTCCTGCTTAATTTTAAGATAGAAATTTTATTATTTCTTTTTATATATTGTTAATTTATTAAAATCTAACATTTTCTGATATATGTTTTATTTTTTCAGAAAATGTTTGTTTGCTTACTCATATTGTTGGATTGAAAGAATTTCAAAACCTTTCTGCTACATTAATTGTTGAAAGAATGAGAAATATCAGAGATATGATCACTTTAAGTCAAATAAACATACTGGAAATTAAAGCTTCATCAAATCTTTCTACAACTATAAATGAAGCATCTTCTAGTAGTTTAAAAAACCTTCAGAACTATAACCAAGAATTATCATCTGATGCAGTTTTGGAGTCAGAATCTAATGATAACAATTCTTGTAGAGTATTTATGCTAGTACCAATACTAAGTCATACAGGATTTAAAACTCTAGAAGGTTTTTATTTAATGGCTAAAAGTGTTCAACCAAGGTTTTCAAGAAGGCATAGAGCAAAGGTATATTGTTTTAAATGCTTAGTTACTTATCTATTATTTCTGTAGTTTCCCCATTCCTTTAAGAAAAGTTTTTATTGTTAACATAAAAAATCTTAACTAAAGCAATTTTGTATATGTATAGTGTACGTACAACGTTTAGTAAATTTGTTTCCTATATGATGGACTGATTATAAGCAAAACTGTAGAAGGTCCCATCACTACTATACAGGGGAAAATTCAAGGTTGGATTTATTTTAAACAGACCTTGTAGAGAATCTGTATAGTCACTTATATAAGAATGTCTAATAAAGTGCAGCATCTGCAGTGTAGGATATGCAGATTTTTCTGAGGATTTCTAATGTCATATTTATTTGTCTAAATAGTATTTTGAAACGATAATATAAATTGTAATAATAGTGCCAAAATACTTCTGAGTGGACACCATCTGATAAACATCCTACTGGCAAACCAATTCATAATCTCAAAGAAAGGAGTAGTGTAATACCACAGATTTGATTATTTGTCCCCTTAATCAGCTTAAACATTCACCTGGCTAAGTGAGTCTGAAGGATCTTCTTCGGAATATGCACTTGATTCTCCAAGCCAAAGCAAAAAAGGCACTAAGCAAGGTAGATTAGTTAATATCTCAAGATGTATAACAAATTTTTAGCGAGTATTCACCACTTAATGATAAAAAATGTTTAAAATAAAACAGAAATTCGCCTATACTCAAAGCAGCGTGCCTGCAGATAATTTATATTTTATGATATTTAACTTGTAATTTTTGCACCTTGTGCATTTCCAGATATTAAAAACAACAAATATATTGCACAACTTTATAATAGGCAATTTTCTTTTACTCCAAAGTTGAATTTGATATCTTATTTAATTTTCCAAAGATCATTTACAACTGCATTTATTAAGTTAGGCATGCTCACTTTGCTAGACATAGACCTAATATATAAATTCTGAATCTTTTCATTTCAAAATAAAAAAAGGACGCATGCAGCTTTTCCTGTAGATATGGAAATGAGTGTAATGCATCTCAAATAGTTATGAATATAGTATGATGCAACATCAGCTATTTAATATAGTGATTTCAAATAAGTATAAAAAGGAGATACAAACAAATAAACTGAAGATCATATAAAATATTAATTAGGTAAAAACTGATTCATTAATAAAACAGGTCCATTAATAAAAACATTATCATGCAGCATATTAGTTAAACAGAAAGAAATTACAATTATCAAAAAGTTGAAAAAAAGTTACTAACTTACATTAGTGAAAATGATGTGTACAGTGATAATTGATCTTAAAATGGAGTATTAAATAAGTACGGTTTTAATAGTAATTTTGACATGTGCTAAAAATGTATGGAAGATATTGCATAGATTTCATTCTTTTAATGTGCAGTTTGTACATTTCAAACTTAAACAAGCAGCATCAACTTTATGTCACTTGCTTGTCAGTTTTTTTATTGTTTAACTCTCTAAGTGACGCAGGTTTTTGGATCTGTCATGTAGACCTGTATATAAACTTCCTTTATTAGCTAAATTTGGAAATTTACTTATTTTAGTCTCTATTTTCATAAACTCACATTTATTAAAATACATCTATGTTAAAGAAAGTAAGAAAGCAAAATATCTTAAATTATAAGCTATTATATACTAAGTGCCAAAAAATCTCATGACCGAATAAAGCCAGTCTTCATGCTCAGAGGATTATAACATTTTAAAGAAAGTCTTATAAAAGTATATTGTCTGTATATCACTCCTGTAAATTATCATCACTGATAAATCTGGGTGGTGATAGTTTCTATGGTAACAAGAATCATACATTTTGAATAACGGATGAAGCCAGATGGAAATTTATATTTTTAAAATTAAATTTTGAGGAAAGATTTTTGCCATTGTCTTTTCAGTTATGTGCAAATTACATGCATCATTCTCAATCATTTATCTTATTTCTAAATTAATTCCTGTTATTATTTGTTCTTGTTGTATTCATATTAAATTTTGATTGCTGTAAATTTTTAAAAATCACCTCTCAGATGAATAAAGGCAGATTGTAATATCTGAAGCACATTATTTAATTGCACTATGTACTGTACTTAATCTTATCAAATTAGACACAATATTGTGGAGTTTTGTTTTTCAAAACTGTAGAAAATCTCTTCTCCCCCCATGCTGGGAAACTGCTTCTCAAGGGAATGAAATTCTGAATTTACAGTGAGAAAAATTAAAATCACAGTTTTGGCATTGAACTTTTTTTTTAATGATGTTAATTTGGTGAATCATGATATTTTTGTTCAGCTATTCCAGTTTTTATATATATATATATACTTGGAAAAAGTAAAAGCGAGAATATTGATTAGTAAAAGCCATTCACCTTATCATCAAAACTGCATGTAAAGATAATTTTCCTTTTTTAAAATTGCTTATTACTTACTTTGTTACAGGCTCATGTACTCTTAACTAACAATTTGTGCATGGTTTCTTAGCCACAAATGCTATTCAAATTTTTTAAAGTAAATACCATTTGTGTCTAATATTCATTCATTTTAATTGACATTTTTATTTAATGCCAAATAACTCTTTTCCATTACATTGTCATGAAAAAATTCTTTCTCTGCCTATATAATTAGATTCTAAAAGCTGTGGGGTTTTTTTTTTTCCCCCACATCTTTTTACCATTTTTGGGGGTGGGGAGGATTAATTTACTACAAAATATAAGCAATATTGCTTGTTGTTTATCATTATTCCTAAATTTTATTATCAGGCTATTGTTGATTGAATAGTCAGCGATGTTTCTGCAGATTTTTGTGTGTTTTTATCAGACCATTATTTATGTTAGTTTTGTCAGGCTGTTCTTAATCAATTAGCATTATTATTATTTGGGATATGTATGTTTTAAATTTATTATCATCGTTTTGTTAGACAAAAGCTTTTGAACTGTTGTTTTGAATAGCTGTGACATTATTCTGACTATGTTGTAATAAACTTTTACTGCAATCTTACTTGCTTTTTATTTTATAAATCTCTGCATATTTTTGCATATTCATTTTCATTATTTATTTAATATCTTGCAGGAAAGTACATCCAAGTATGACAAACAGCCTAAAACTAGATTAAGAAGAGCAGCATCTGATCTTGTCTTGAAGCCAAAAACTTATGCTACAGATTTAAACAGAAACTCTGTATTTTATGTTGATATTAAAGATGATAAAATAGGTTTAAATGAAGAATTAACAAAATCTGATAATCATGAGAAATGTACAGATACTTACAGAGAAGCTTCAAAACTAGAGAAAGCTAGTAAAATTGATGACGTTAAAAATATTGGTCCAAGAGATTCCTTGAGAAGTTTTTCAGAATCTGCTCTTTCTAACATTAATAGCAACAGAGAATTAATATCTTTAAGTGATTCGCAAGAACATATCAGTAGTCCCCAGTATGATACAGACCTGAATGAAGCATTTAATGTAATGACTGAAAGCATCGAAGAAGAAGACAGTTCACTGATAGATGAAGAAACTCAGAATGACATTTATTGTTCATCTGTTTTAGGTTTTGAAATATTGGATTACAATCGCATTTCAAGTAAGTATTCAAGTATTCTTAATGATGAATGGTATTTAATTTCTTGAACTTTACAAGAATTTGTTTTCTAATTTGTAGTTATGCAATTAGAGCGTGTATGTAGAAATGCCAGTTTTTGTTCAAATATGAAACTAAGTTTGGGAAAAAAATCAATAGGAAAATTTCTTGTAAAATTATGGTGTTTGCTAAGTATTTATGAGTACTTTTAACATTATTAAAAACATTATCCTTTTACATGTCTCTTTTATGTTATTATTTACTGAACATTATGACTGGTCTTAAAAATTGTTTTGTTTAAGAAGAAATTAGAAATTGTTTCATAAGCAGTATTCGTGCAGAATGTAAAAGTAAAATGTATTAATTAGAGATTAAATTTTTGCCATTTAAAGGCTAAAGCTGAGGAAATTTGAATGGTACTGCTGAAAATTTCTCTCTCTGTTTGGAAATCAACAGTAACTATTGTAGAGCAGTTTTTGAAATGATATATAGTATAATAAACATATGTAATGGGATGATTTGGAATAGCTGTAATGGATTGGCAATGGTTTGTTGCATTGCTATAACTTGGAGATTCTTTATTTTGTAGATAAAGGAATGACACTTAAAGACAGACATAGCCATACATTTACTATATTAAAAAATCTTTTTTATGCAATATTTGATTCACACATTATTATGGCTGCAACATGCACCCCACAGATTTTGAAAGCTTAGCTTATCTTAAGATAGTGGAGAGAAACAATGTGTGCTTACTAGCAGCAATGCATTTTTTCCCCCAAAGAGGGAAAAATGATTATGCATTGAAAAGTGTGAGATAGTCAAAAGTTTCTTCAATCTGACTGAATAAGAGCTGTCTGCATTGCAGCGCTTACATAAGATGGGGTATTAGATTCATTTTGAAATGCTTTAGATTCGTTAGGACAGGAAAAAGAGAAGTACCAAGCTAAAATGAATAATAAAAAGGACTATTGCCAAATTAGTTAGTAATTTTCTTTCATATTTTATCTCACTATAAGGTATGAATTATTGATTATTCTTCAAACTATTAATTTTTACCACACCATATTTAATGTTAATTAGAAATTTTTTCTGAATATTTTAAGTATGATTAATCCATCAAAAATTCAAATTTAATCTAATTTCAAAACTTAGCACATGTTACGCTTAACAACTGTCTTTTACTACTGGGCATTTCAAATGAATATTTTTTCACTTCAAAATTTAAGTAGCTCTAACATTGCAAATTTTATAACTCTTATTTTTATTTATTTATTTTTGTTTTTTGTTTGTTTGTTTGTTCAATTTCTCATTTGTTATTATTTTTTCATATATTGGATTGCTTCTGTTTACATGAGCTTTTTGCCTGTTTGTGATTTTGATGCTATAATTTTGCAATTTTTTGCACTACTTTCTATGATTTTAGGGGCTGGACTGATAAAGACACAGATTGCTTTGATTAATTATCTGAAACTATCTTAAGTACAGTCAAAAGTCTTTAATCCGGACTCGTCGGGACTTCGGAGATTCCGGATTATCGTTTTTTTCCGGATTATAGATCATCAGTTTAAATCTGGTAAGATGGCATGCAGAAATTATAAAATTAAAAATATGAAACCGTAATTTATGAAATAAAGAGCAAATATGATCTAAAGGGTATCAAAATTTACAAAAAAAAAAAGCTTTATATTTATTTATTTACTTTATTAAACATTTCTTTCAACGCGCGCATGCGTAAAGCATACTTTACGCATAGTCGAAATTAGAAAATTGCAACCAGAAAACTATGTGATGTGTATTCATGATATTTATAATGACGAGGAATTTGATTTAAATCATATCAAAGATGGAGTACATCGAGATGAAATACTACATTTAGTAAGGAATTATAAGCCGAATAAAATAAAAACATCTGCCCTGAAGATAAGGATAGTGCTGATAGATCAACTTCCAGTTCATTGCGCGCCGTGACGCCCCCCCCAACCCGCCGCACGCAGAGCAGCGTGAAATTGATAAACAGATTTCGGAACAGTTAGATAAACAAAGGATATGTCTTTATCCATTTTTTGTAGCAATTCCACTTTTTGTTTGATGGACATCGGAACATGCTTTCGCTCCTTTGGTAGCTCCAAAATCGATATTCTTTTTGACATAATCGAAAGTTCAAGCTTACTTTTATAAAATTGCTCTAACAGTCTGCAAAAAATAATAAGCTGGATCCAATTAGAAGATTTAGGGACAACACAATCTGCAACATTAACTGAAATAGATAATTAGATAATTTTAGCCTAGCTTATACCGTCCGTTATACATTAAACGTGCATGCGTAAACATATTATGTGCATGCATAGACGCATATCCGCATGCGTTGATGCATGCGCAGAAAGTTTGTAGCTTCGAGGTCCGGATTATAGATCATTCCGGATTATGGACATCCGGATTAAAGACTTTTGACTGTATTAAACTTTAATTTGTGTCTTTGTCGGTTCAGAAGCAGTCTGATGTATTTACTTCTTTTGTTGCGCCAACCCCCTGATGACGGAGCAGTGAAAGATGTATATTTCTTATTTCCTTTTCCATTTTTGGTTTTGGCATTTTTTGTGCAATTTGTGACTGTGCATTTGGGTCCTCCCAAATAGAGGGTTTGTTCCAAATTGAATATGGAATGGATTTTATATATATTATTTTAGCAAGAGCCTCTTAAATCATCATTTTAATTTGAACATTTCCCCTCATCATCCTGTCCATAACACTGGATGATGCAGTCAGTTGAGAATTGAAAATCAAAATTTGTAAACCAAAACCGTTTTCTTTCTCAAATAGGCCACCGTGTGACTACTGCATAATGATAAAAAAATTTGTGAACTGAAACTCAACCAGCTGATAATTTTGATGAGTTATTTATTAATTAACCAAAACTTTATCAAAATTGAAACTAACTGACTTTGAATTAAGATTTCATATCAGACATAATAGACATACTTTTTGCTTCTGAGCATATCTAGATTACTGCTGCTTCCAAATTATTTGACAATTAAAATAGAAAGGAATATTGAAAACTGCCATAACTGCAAGATTCTACTATTTTGTGCTTCATCTAATATCAGTGACATTCCAATATATCACATAAGAAAATGATTAAATACATAAGAAAGTAATAAAAAATTTCATGTGAAATTCCAAATAAAAAATTATATATATAATTTTAGAGATACTGATTTAGGAACACTGAGACATAGAAATACAGAAATACTGATGGCAAAGCATGTAGGTAGCACAAAACATAGATCCATGTTTGGAAGAGAAAGAATTCTGATTGGTTAGAATGCTGAAATGTTGATAGTGTAATGATTAGGAAACTTGGCAGCCAAGTAAATTAAATATTCATTTTTATTTCAATTGACAACTTGGCACTCAAAGTGTGTCTGTTCAAGAACATTTACATTTTTAATGCTGTTTTGATAGGAAGAAAGCACAGTAAAAATGTGTCATTAACAAGAAGAGAGGCAGAAGCTAAATTCAGTGCAATTATCCAGTATGCAGTTTCACCAAGAGAAGGTTTTGGCTTAAGTTAGAAAGGTTTCAGTTCTTAAGATTTTGAGTTCAAGTTCCGAATTAGCTACACCATCAGTGTTATGCAAGATGGATTGATCTAAAATGCTGCAGTCCCAAAAGTTATTATTATTTTTATAATTCAGAGAGGAAACACCCAAATTAAAAATAAGGGGTTAAGAGTCTAATACTAAATTAAATTATAAAGCTGATTTATGTATTTTTTATCTTGCTTTTATGTTAGTATATGTTGCTTACTTTTCTTGGCAATAATCAGCTTTTAAATTTAACCAGTTTTTAAATTGATAAAACAAGTAAATGCTTTCTTTTTTATATGAGGTTAAATTTAAAATAAAAAATAGAGGGAACCCCAATATGAAAATAGTCGCCAAACCGGGTGATGAAGTGGTTAGGATGGGAGTCTGGACATTGACCAAGAGTATAAAAGTGCATTGCATTGGTACTTCAAACCTAACTCTCACAGCGACTGATTAAAATGGACGCGTCCAAGGTGATCTTTTGGAGTTGTTTGTTGTGTGATTTTAAAGTAAGCCTGTCAGCAGCAAAATCAAGTCGCCAAACTTGCCAGGCCTTTAGGATAATGCTAATAACAAACGAACTGCTAGGCAATGGTTCCAGAAGTTCAGGTCAGGAGATATGTCTCTTAGTGATGCAGTGGTCAGCCACAGGCGCTGGACGATGAGGCCCTGAGAGTAGCCGTAGAGAGTGACAGTAGCCAAACATGTGGTGAGCTTGCTGCACATTTCCAGATATCTGATGAAATGATCAGACTCCATTTGTGCCACGCAGGAAAGGCAGACAAGCTGAGCAATTGGGTACTCCACTCACTGTACGATGCAAACAAGCAACAATTGCCTGTTTATCATTGCTTACTTGGTATCACACTGCATCCATATTTGATTGAGTACTCACCAGCGATGAAAAGTGGGTCCAGTATGACACACGCGGGCGTTCCAGTTATTGATTGTCACCACAGGACTCTGCCTTACACTTCAAGACCTCAAGATTGCTCTGTATCTGATGGTCTAGTCCCCAAATGGTGCACTATGTGCTCCTGCCAGTGGGCCAAACCATCACGGCAGGCCTGTATTCACAGCATTTGGAACGTGTGCATCAGGCACTAATGCATAAAAAGCTGGCATTGGTTAATCGTAAGGATGTACTCCTCCTCTGTGACAGTGCGATTGCATGTGGCTCGGGAAGCCAAGGGCTCCATCCAGCGACTGGGCTGGGAAGCACTACCCCATCCACCATACTTCCCACACCTTGTGCCAACAGACTACCAACTTTTCCATTTCCTGTACAGCCATCTTCATGGAAAATCCTTCAACAGCCTCAAAAAGGCCCTCACCAAGGCCTTCTTTGCGTGCAAGACTCGTGAGTTTTACCACGATGGCATCTCGCACAGCTAGCCACTAGGCAAAAGGCACTGGATGCCGATGGTGATTACTTTGAAGATTAGCAGTGATTATTATTTGTTTTATGACTTTTTCTTTCTGACTGTTCAAAACGGCAAGAACTGTTTTGGTTACCTTGTAAAAAAGATAAGCTTCTTGCATAAGCCTATTGTAGTTTTCTCTGTATTTAACAGAAATGTAAATTAATTTTAGACCGTTCTCCACAAAAGCAAGATCTTGAGGGATCTATTTTCTTTTGCTAAAATCCAATTACATATATGTTTATTTTTCTTATAACTGTTGTTTCTGTTAATTGAAGTCTTTTTTTATTATTTCACCTATCCTACTAACAATCTGCATGGAAAAGAAGCTTTCCTATGAAATATTGGAAAAAAAATTCTGTGAAAAGTGAATTCAATAAAATATCTCACAAAATTCCATGTTTGCAGTTATGATGGCATTTGGTAAAATGCTGCTGAGCCTTATTGCTATTTTATCTGTATGAATTCTTGTTTTGGAGTTTTTGTTATTATTTGGAGCAAAGATATGCAAAATATATGGAATTTAGCTAGAATGCTATAAATACAAAGTTTGTAAGTAGTCAGTGCAGCTAGTACTCAATTTGGTGAAAGTGCTTCTGATTTTATTGCAATATTTACTGATCTATATTATATATATATATTTTAGTTGTGTTTTGAAGTACTGCCCATCTTGTATTTTTTAACTACAATTTTTTTTTTCCTATCACCTATGGTATTTCAGAAGTACTGGAACTATATTTGACTTCTTCATCAGTTGAAATTAGATATAATTATTTAGAGTTTGGTAAAGATCAATTGTATTTTATATGCATGCATTTTATTTTAAAGGTTTCACATCATTCTATTAAGGCTAGACTCATATTGCATATATTTTTACTGAATATGAAGAACCATGTAATTCTAATGAAAAATTTGCTTCACATTGAAAATTAAAACTTGCATAGTATTATTTCTGAATTGGGATCGATATTTAAATTATTGATTGATAATTGGTAATGATATGACATATTCAGAGTTATCTTAGTGATGTTGCAACAGTATTTGCTGAATTTTTGTGTTGAATAGCTTATATATATATGTTTACATAACTGTTGTTTAGATTAAAAAATAAGATAATGAACCACCAGTTTTCTCAGAGTAGAGATAAATTCAGCATCTTAGTTAGATTGCTTATTAGTATTACTTAATATCAATAAGTACATTTGTAGTTTTCATCAAATTAATATATGTATTCTTCCTGTATTTTAATTTATTTGGACTAGGTAAAATAGTTAATTTTCCTAGGTTTCAAAATTGTTGATTTTGTCACTCAGGGCAATTACGGAGCATCAGAATTACAAGCTGAGGTAAAATAAAATATTCTAAATATCCATTAGTTAGTTTTGTTTCTTATTTGCATTTTGTATTCATAAAATTAATTATGTTTTTATGTGTTAAAAACTATATTTTTATGTAATGAAGTATTTTTTTATGCTGCCTATTTTATGTTAAAAACATCTTTAGTGGAATTTTCTCAAAATCTGTAGACAGTTAAAATTTGTAATGCAACCATGCATTTATCATCTATGTAATTTTGTGACTTTTTTCCAAAGCTGTTTATCTGAAATATCAAACCTTTAATTTATCTTTCTAATTTAATCAATTTGTAGTTGATCAAAAAATGAATGATTTAAAAAGAGTAAATACATTTCTTAATAATTTAAGTCTATTTTATTTTTTAAAATTGTATCTGCTTGATATAAATTAAAATGCATTTAATTTATGATGTAACAGATAATTTTTATGAACATTTCATAATGAAAAATATTTTTGGTGATATTGTGTGAAGTCAGTACAGAATTCCTGTATCCCATTTTTGCTGTTGTTATAGTTATGTTAGTTTAAGATTTAAAAGTAAATGATTATGTATATCCCCATTAAAAATTCACAAAGAAATATTCATAAGGCAAGGCAGTATGTTGCCAAAATAATTATGTGGAAATCCAGCAGGTGACCAAAAAGTATTTATGTGGCAACATGGTATGTGTTTGCACATGCTTCCTTTGTTTGGTGCACAATGCCAAAATTGTACGAATTTTAAATTGTACAGTTATCTGATGCCGATAAAGCAAACATGTCATTTTAATGTTATAACTGAATCTATTTCCAAAAATCAATTTTTAATAAATTCTTGGATGTTATGATCTTGCTTTTTTTAAATGTTTTTTAGAGGAAATTTATTCTTTTGCTGAGTTAAAATATTAAAATAATTTAATATTTTAACTCAGCAAAAGAATAAATTTCCTCTCCAATCTGAATATGAAAGAAAGCCCAAAATGCTTTTAAATATATATTTTATTGATTTAAGGGATTGCAATATTGATATTTTAAATATTAAGACCAGCACATGTAGACCATGCTTTAAAAACTCTGGGTTGAGGTATATAGTCTTGATTTCTAAAAATTTTCAGCTATTTTCTGCTCTGCAGTTATCTCATTTTTGATGATGATGTGAAGACATTTGAAAAAAGATAGCTATATCAGTAAAAGTTTCAGGTTCTAAACATTTCGACAGATGATGGTCAGGAAAATACCTAGAATGGGAATTGAAAGTCGGTGTATTTACAGGCTATTTACAAGAGATTTGCACATATCTAGCTATATAATGAAATGATCATAATATAAAGATTGTTCACAACAACACAAATCATAAATGCACAAATGAAGCAAATGAAAATTGGTGTATGGAAGTGGAGCCAGTCTTTGGTGAAAATAGGAATAGAAAATAAAAGACATGCAGAGCTAGAGATCCAGATCTCAAAGAGATATAGAAATATAGCTGTATTTATTTTTTATTGTTGTTTATTAGATTAGAAATATGATTAAATGTCCATAGCTAAGTTAGAAAAGGTTAATTTCCCTAACTTATTACTCAGAAATCAAGGTTTGGATCATTCTGCAACTTATTTTGCCTCCTTAGCTATAGCCTGAATGACAGATGATACATAGCTTCACAGAACAGAGAAATAGAATCTCAGCACAGTGCCAATTATAAAATGACAAAGGTACAAAATGAAGGGATCTGTTTTACTCAGACAGGAAACACAGGATATAACAACATTTACAGTAAGATTACTACTGTATATGTTGGGAATGTGCTGATATTTGTTCAACAATGTGGAAACAGCTTGCTGAATTTACTAAGATCATTGAATATGGGGAGAAAAAAATTGAATGGTTTCCCATCAGCAACTGGCGGATTCATTGATGCGATTGATAGAAAGATGCAGAGCGGTAGATATATGACACTTAAGCAGTTGGAGATGTGCTGTAATCTTTCACATGGTATTGCATAAGACATTGTCACTGAATGTTTGTGCTATTGTGTTATTGAAAAGAATGCTCCAGATGGGTTCCAAAGTGTCTGTCTGACAAACAGAAGTTTTAGACAATAAGATCTGCACTAGCCAGTCTGCAGTATTATACTTTTGAGGATAATGTCACTTTATCGCATGTCATTAGATGTAATGAGATATTTTGTTTCAAATCAAAAACGAAGTATGTGGAATAAACATGTCCTACGTGACCAACACTAAAAATGTCACAAGTGCAGAGAAGAGAGTCCAAGTGTAATCTTTTGGAACATTTATAGAATGATCTCAGTTGATTCTGTGTTGCATGCAGTAACCATGAATGCCAACTGCTGATTAGAGGCATGAATGTATTTTAAGGAAACTATGCAACTTTGATGGCCTGGCCTTACAAATAGAGTAGTCAGATTCTATATCATCAACACAGCTGGAAACTTGCTGCACACATAACAATGGCAGGTTGTTTCTCAATCTACTATCAGCCTAAACATGGCTCTTCAGAACATTCTTCTGTTTAGGAAACTGAAGAAATATTTACAAGGTGTATAATTTTTCAGTGAAGTGAAAAAGAAAGTTAAACTGGTAAAATAACTCAGTAACCAGGATGCCACTTTCTGTTGTCAGGGAATTCAGAGACTCATGGTATGCTGTACTTGAATGTCTTTCTAATTATGTCAAAAAATAAAGGTATGATACAGCTAAAATTTGGCTGCCTTGATAATGAAGTTGCTTCTTTTCATGCTCTGATTCACTGTTGGGTTGATGTCATGAATGACTTGTATAAAATCACTTCAAATGATCCATAATTTTTAAGAAGCAGAAAATGAAATATAATTCTGCTAGAATATAGAGAAATCCTAGCATTTCCCTTATTTGTATCTGTAAATTCTGAAGGTAAATGGGGCCCACCAGCGGCCGAGCTGTAAAGTTGCTGAACACTGGTAGTTCGGTCCAAGGTTCGAATCCCACGAACAGGCTGGCTGCATGGGCATTTTTGTGGTTTTCCCCATGTGTAACGTGTATACAAGCCAGTTTCCCTTAGAAAGTCCTCCACGAAGTCATCCCTCCTTTTAGGCAGATAGCCTTCGAGGCTTTGCCATAATCACACACACACACACACTGAAAGTAAATGAAAATAATTAACTTGTGATATGGAAAATAATGAAAATAGTAGCTTTACTTTATGGAGTTCCGATTGCATTAAAAAGTGAAGTAATCAACAAAAAAGTCAATCTCAAGTAGATTTTATTTCATTGGTTGAGTATTTTAATAAGCAGAAAGTGTTTTAGAAGCTAATGTACAAAGCACATTAGGTAATATTTTGGTAAGTCCCTTCTATTCCTTTTATCCCAGTGATCTGTTTTCCTTATTCTAAAATATTTTTCAGTTTTAGTATTTCATAAAATTAATTGCGAGATATATTTCTATTCAAATTTTTGCTTTATGGGTACATTATTGAGTTCATATCTTTGTAGTTAATCAGTAATGCTATTCATAAGCCCCACATACCACATTTCTGTTTTAGTAGTTTTCTTAACTGTGTTAAGAGACTTAAATAGGGTAATGATATTATGTACATTAATAATCATCATCACAATTTTTCTCTAAGACAGCTACTCCCACAGAATATCAAAATCATTCAGGACTCTGGGTGGGTATATCTTAAATAAGATTTTTTTATTTAAGATATACCCACCCATTATATTATTTATTGAGATTTAAACAGTATAGTATTCTTAAACATTATTTCTTCAAAATTATTCTTTTCTGTCCTGGAATATATCATGATATTGATTTACTCATTCCTAGGTGTTATTAGCATCTCAGATGTATGCAAGTTGGAATAAAGGAACTATAATAAATGCTAATGGCTGGTTGTAAGTGTGATATAAACATATTATTATAAGCTGTTAAATTAATTCCATACCTTTCTGTATATTGTTATAGTATTGCATTATTCTGTATAAGGAATTTTTGAAATTACATAATGAATTAATGATCAATTGAAATCTTTTATGTAGAAATTCATTTTATTATTCAAAATAAATCAGAATTTATGATGGCTGATTTATAGAAGCTAGTTACCTTCATTTGTAAACCACAGAAAACAAGTCCATGAAATGGATATAATTCCCTATATTTATTTTACTTCTTATTTCACCCATTCCTATCAAATTCAAATAATAATTATTGGTACATCATTGTCACATCATAGTACTATACTTTTTGTTAAGAATTCTATTTTAATTCCATGTATAAATTTCTCCCCTTTGACTTTTGTGATATGTTAATAGTCTAAAGTAATATAGCCAACATTTCCTCTTCTTCAAACTGTTAAAATTATTTCCATCATTCCTGTTGTTTCTTTAAATTTTTCATTTAATCAGTGTGGTGTGTGTGTGTCTTTGATATTGAGGTATTACAAAGTGGTGTGGTTTATTTATTCTATATCTCTTAACAGTGTCATTCACTGTATGTGAAAAATCATTTCCTTTGAAAATTAACACTTTTCTTTTTAAAATTTTTGAATTTGAACTATGAGATATTGTTCCAAGTATTACATTGCTTAACAAAAGTACTTTGACAATGATCAGACTGACAGTATATAAAATTTGTTTATTTATATATTTCAAAGCATTTAAATTTGAGAATTCATATATTATTTTCTTCAGATATACAGACTGTAAAATTTCAAAGTAATTATAATTTTTTAGGATCAAGTTTGCAAAGATTTAAACCCAGAATTTCAGTATTGGCTAGTTTGTTGCTTCTGCCAATGTTAATTCTTTATAGAAGTGGCTTTTTAATCATAAAAATAACATTCACCATAATGAAAGAACACAGAATATGTAAAATAAAGCATTCTTTCAAACACATATAAAAGCATATGTTTCAAAGACAGTGAATGAAAATAATCTAAATGAATAAAAATAAAGCAAATCTTATTCTGTTATGTTGAGATATACATATGTGGACAAAAAGTTTGTCTGGCACCCAGTCAAGAAAATGGTTAGTGATGCTGATTGCTGTACACCGAAAGACCCTTGCTCGAATTCCAAAGAAGGCATGGATGTTTGTGAGTGTATAATGTCTGTGTGGCATGGGGGCATTCTAAATAAGCAGAAAGCCAAAAGTCCTATCAAGAGGTTGATGGTAGGGAAAGAGGGATGGGAGGCCCTCAAACTCATCCTCTCGGGGTCATCTTCTTCAAAATCGGAGGTGGAATTAAGCAAAGTCATCCTGTCACCTGTATGGTGTCCAGTGCTCTTGCATACAACAGACACAATCTTGCCTCCTTGCCCTGAGAAATTTTAGGATCTTGTTCTGAAATCAGAAAAGCAATATTAGTCACAACAACAGCAAAAGCTAGTCTCATTGCATCTATGAGTAAATATTTATTAATTGAAAAAAGATATGAATAAAATGATCTCTCATGCTTAGGAAAACATATACTTAATTCCTTCCCAAAGAAATTTCTGAAAGTATTTTGTCACAGAGCTTGCAAATTCTTTTCTTTGTGCAGAAAACAAGTGTCTTAATTTCTTTGCTTTATGAAGACTTGGAAAAAATTTAAAATCTAAAATGTCAAGTTTCATTTGGAACAGTAAGTCTTTTGTTAAATGACATACCACTTTTGACTCATCAATAATCTTTAAATTGCATTTGAGACAAGGAGTGGTGTGAAAAATGATAGTCCAGATTACTCATATCAAGAAAAAATAAACATTTTCAGTGCAGATTCTCATTCAGTTTAGAGCACTTTACTTTCAAATGTAAGATTAAAACTAACTATAAAATAAACAGATAAATATAAAAACATATCACCTGAGACTTTAAAACAGAAATAGTTTTAATTAAATTTATTATTGATATCTGGCCATGTAACTAATTTCGTCCTATCAGATGTTTTTATGGCTTTTTTTAATCATACTATTAAGCTTTAATAAAAAGTGTTTTTTTTTTTTTTTTTTTAATCTTTCTGATTTTTACTAGAGGTTGTTGGATTATCAAATGTTTTTCTACTTTTTGCACTATCTACATTTTTTATTAGTCAGCAGCATCGTGATAGCAGTCTGATGATGTTTTGAAACTTTTATTATCACTGTAATAGACTGGTGCAGAAAATTGCAATATGCTGAGTGAAAATCTTTTAAAATTATACCTAAAAACTAAAAGCAATGAAAAATCCTTTGTCCCTAAAAACAAAATATGATCTCAGTGGAATATTTGCAAACTGCAGCATGATAGTTGATATAACTTATGGTTGCTGTAAAAGTGTGTACAGTTATGAAAGGCCAAATATAAAATATTATTACTGAATCAAAAATTTCAGATTTAGTGCTAACGATGAAGAAGTGTGTAAGCATGTATGGAATGCCTTTGTACTGGTACTCTGTCATAAATATGCTGACACTTTTATGCTAGATGATTGCTGTTAGAAAAGACAGCAATTTTTTTAAGGGTACCACAGCATAAAGGTATCCACACCTTTATGCAAATCAGTTTTGTATCTTGAAAACAAAAAATAATCTTCATAGAGATGCAAGTACATCATCTAGCAGATAGAATGTTCATTTGCCATGTTAAGAAGTATATTAAAATTTTACTTGCATGAAAGTGCTAAAATAAAGATGTCTGCACCTTTATAAAGGTTGCTTTTTTTTTTTTTTTTTTTTTTTTTTTTTTTTTTTTTTTTTCAGATTAGAAATTGTTTTATTTAAAGGTGTGGGTGCCATTCTTTATAAATATATAAATATATATTTATATTCTATAAAGTATTAGCACCTGTATCCTGGTTCTCTCCAATTGAAGTTACACTAAGCATTGGTGGTTCTCCTAAACTGGGACAAATCAGTGAAAAGAACTGCTAGGCTTGATACAAAGCTGATGTTTTGTGCACCATGCTAAATTGGCTTTCTTGTGCAGATGCCATTTGTGTAGAGGATTACCATTAGGAAGTGGTGGATTAAAATTGAAGAAATCTGGATAAGCAAGTGAACATATTATCCATTGTCTCTATCAGTGTGCCTTTTGAGGTCATTTACTAAATGGTGTAAATGAAAAATATTTTGAGGATATTTTCATATTTGTCTCTCTTGGGAGATGATTTGTTGATGTGGGAGAAAAACAGCATAGGCTAATATTTCTAAGGGAGACATTTCTAGTTTGTATGTACATAGATTAAGATCATGTGTATTTGCATCCCATTCACATCTCTGCACAAGAAAGCCAATTTAGCATGGTGCAGAAAACATCAGCTTTGGATCAAGCCTAGCTGTTCTCTTCACTGATTTGTCATGATTTAGAAAAACCACCAGTTCTTATTGTAATTTCATTTGGAGAGAACCTGGTACTGCTATCTCTACCCCCAACTTCCAAGAAAGGGAGTGGTATGGCAGATTAGGTTTGTTAGTCTAGCAAGCAGGCATCACATTGGATGGGCAAACTGACCTTCATGTCTGGCAAAAGTTGTATGACTCCTGCAAAGTACAGAGAAATGATCTTGGAGCTCTATGTCCTCTTTTTCAGGAATACTGTTGTCCCTCAGTTCATTGTTATGGATGACAATATTCATTTGCATGAGGCTAATCTAGTACATGATTTTATGGGGGAAAAAATTGTAGCATTTTCTCTCATAGAAAAAGAATCATAAATTGTCTCATTTTTAATATGAAGTCATATTGTGAGATCTGTATAACTGTTGAAGGGGACTATATACCCAATAGCCTTTTTGGGGGAGTTGTTATTAAATTTTGCAACCTTTGTTTTAAACCTTTCTGCACCAGTGAATTGATCATGCACCAAGATTGTTATATGGTATATTTTTTATATCATCACAATCTTATGTTCATACTAAATTTCATTAAAATCTGATTATCAGTTCTGGAAGATAATCAACCAAAATCTAAAAATTTTACTAATTTTTAATACCTGTGCACAGCTAGGGCAAGCTCAGGTGAATAGCTAAGAGGAGTGCCAAACTAACCAGGAAATTTTAGAAAAGTATTTTTTAATAAAAACTGCGATTATTAACGTATCACGATTATAACATCATACATAACAAAGGAAAAAACTGACAGCCAATACTTCATATATAAAATAGATTGCCATATAGTTATCGGTTTTGAAATGCATTGCAAAGCACCATTTTGAAATAGCATGTCTAAAGCAATAAAAAATACTCTATATTTTTAGCATTTGCACACTCACATGCTTTTCCTTAATCAGCTATCTAACAAATCAATTAGCTAAACCAAATCAAAAAACTTAATCAACAGTTATTAAATAATCAAAGTGAGGCAAAAAAATCATTACCATGTATTTTATATAATTTTCAATTCATTATTATTTTCTTATATTTATACAAAGTTCAAATAAGGCATCAAATAACAGGTTGAAATTAATAACATCTTTAAGCAAATCAGTTTAAAATTTTGGAATTTAACACTCCAAGAAAAAGAAAAGTTTAACGTAATATTGAATCCCGATGAATGAGTTGGCTGCGTGAGAGATTTCATGGTTTTCTTCATGTGTAATATAAATATGAGCAAATTTTCACATACAGTCAAAAGTCGTTAATTCGGACACCCATATTCCGGAATGATTTATAATCCGGACCTCAAAGCTGCAAACTTTCTGCGCATGCGTCGCGTTGATGCATGCGCGTAAGACCTTTACGGCTGCGAATATGCTTGTGCGCGTGCGCAAAATACGTTTATGAGTGCGCGTTTAATGTATAAAGGATGGTATAAGCTAAGCTAAAATAATGTAATTATCTATTTCAGTTAATGTTGCAGATTGCGTTGTTCTTTAATCTTCGAATTGGATCCGGCTTATTATTTTTTCAGACTGTTAGAGCAATTTTATAAAAGTAAGCTTGAACTTTCGATTATGTCAAATAGAATTTCTGATATATATTTATTAATATGTAAAGGATCTACAAAGCGAAAGTATGTTTCAAAGTTCATTAAACAAAAAGTGGATTTGCTGCAAAAAATGGATAAAGGCATACCCTTTGTTTATGTAAACTTTAACGTTTGTTTATCTTTAACGCCGGGGTGCGCAATGAATTGGAAGTGGATCTGTCAGCACTATCCTTATCTTCAGGGCAGATGTTTTATTTTATTTGGCTTATAATTCCTTACTAAATGCAGTATTTCATATCTATGTACTCCATCTTTGATATGATTTAAATCAAATTCCTCGTCATTATAATTCGCTTCCGATAGCTAAGAAAGTGACAGAGGTTATTGAAAACGAAAAAATTTCGATTGACAAATTAGTCGGTAGACACAGCAATTATAGGACTTGAACAGCGGAACTTTGTAACTGAACAAGAAATTATGTCTGTTATAGAATTAAAGAGAATGTATTATCACATAAAAAACGAAGCAACTTAAACAACTTACATTGAAAGAAATGTTTAATAAAGTAAACAAATAAATGTTAAGCTTTTTTTTTTTTTTTTTTTTTTTTTTTTTTTTTTATTTTTTTTTTTTTACGGTTCCATTTTCTTTTTTCATTTCATGCATGAGATTTAAACTGATGATCTATTCCGGAATCGCTGAAATTTTTGAATTAAAGTTTTCCATGCTGAATTAAAGAAACAAACATAATGCAAGACATATCTCATTTTTATGAACCGTTATTGTATCAATAGACAATGAAGAGAAGCAAAAAGTTAATAAACCAGATTTTCAAGAATGAATTGATAAGAGAACTCATTTTGTCTGAAAAATATCTTTTCGGAGCAAAATTAAAAGAAATGTGGAATATTTTAATTTTGCATCTAAAACAGAGATATTAAAAATTAAATGAGATAACTTCCAATTCTCCTAACTTCTAACTGGTGAAAAATTAATGTCATTAGATTTAAGTATTTTGAAGATGAACAGCTTTAGCATTTAAGTATCCAAATGATGTAAATGTTCATCTATTCCATCAGAAATTACCAGTTTTAAAAATCCTGTTATTTCAACAAGTATGGCAAAGCAAAAAAAAGTCTTTGAAAGTTAATTTGGGTCTACCGTTTCGTTCTATCATATCTAAATTTGGAAACTTCATTAAGAATATTAACATCAGTTAACTAATTAAGAGTATAAGAAACTTTGTAAATCTTAAAATGAAAATAAAAAACAATTGTGCATATTTTCTGTTGGTCCCAAAAGCTTTCAAATATCAATGTATAGAGTATAAATTAATTGATGAAGTAGATTTTGAAAAGCAATATTAATGATTTTATTTCATTATAAACAAGGAATATAAAAAAATATTTTAAAAACACTTTTATAATTAAAAAATTAAATACAAAATTGAGCTAGATTATTAATTTAAAACTTTTCATATTAATTGTAGTACTATTTATATTATTTCAAGGTAATTTGCTATTTATAAAAAATGTACTTTTTAATGTTGTCATTTAAAATTTCTGAATGATTACCTGTATTAATTTTCTGAATACATAAAAAATATAATAAGAATTATGATATGATTTTATATTGTTGCCTTTTTTGATTATAGACATATACAGACACATTTAATTTGATTAAATTTAAAGGTGTGCATCTACCTCTTTGCCATATGCCAAAAAAAAAAAAAAAAAATATCTAGACATTGCTCTGTACATAAACATTGATTTCCAAAGTAAATACTAAAATAGATTCCAATGAAAACTCTAAATCTGTTTCTCTGTTTATAACCAAGTTGTCGTGTGAATTTTATGCAGTTGATTTTGCACTAACATTTCGCAAATGCATGCATGTGTTTTAGGGTTAAGATTAAAAAAAAATCACTTTCAGGTATTTGACTAAAATTTGTAGTAGCAAATTGAGGGGGGGAAAGTGTTACCGTGTTATAATTAATTGAGAATTATTTTCTTTACTATGCAGAAATATATCAAACTTAGCTGAATGAATAGAGGAGCAAAAAGAATTATGATGGGTAAACAGAAATGCAAATTAAATCATTTCTTTAATTGTTAATTTTTTTTTTTTTTTTTTTTTTTTTTTTTTGAATTGATATTGTTAGGACAGGCACATCTAGTTACGTTAAAAGTAAAATTATACAAATGTTGTGGTTAAGTTGGAATTATACAGAGCTAATTAATGGCTACAGGTAGTTCAGTTGATAGAGCATGTGTCTAGAGATCCTGAGTTCAATCCTTAGCCAAGGTCCATACATTTACAATGATGAACTAAAGTAGAATCTTTGTAGTGCTATGGGACCTTTCTTAGCCATTGCACTTGGTTGGAATACATCAGACTACAAATAGGGTGGTTCAAAATTGCGTCAAAAATGAAGTTACATTTATGTATCGGATAAGTAAAATTATATGGAATTAATGATGACTCCAGATAGTTCAGTTTCAAAAGTTCTTGTCTGCATATTAGAAAACTGGAGGTTACATACTCAGCTGAGACTGAGATCTTTGCCTAGCAATCACGTGTTATCTTAAAAATTCTGAAAATCAGAGGAAGTTTCATATTTTTGTTTTTTCCTGTGGTTTTTACTCTTTCTTTTAGGTTTTAAAGTATCTAATGAATTTCTCAGATTATCCAAACTTGTTCAATTTTTAAATTTTGTATTTTGAAATAATTTTAATTTTCTGTCAAATTTAAGTGGTTTAAAAATTCATCTAGAAATTACATTGCTTTCAAGGGGAAAAAAAGAAATGATGCATAGTTAGTTCAAGCTTGCAATTTATTAAAGCTTTTTATATATTGCTTATTTTGTTGCAGGCCTGGGCAATCTTTCTGGCCAAAAGGCCACATTAGGGTTTTAAAAATTATACTAATATGGCCACATTAGGGTTAAGGTGAACTGTGAAAAAATTATTATTATTAGGAAAAGTGAATTCTAACATAAAATAAATTTCTAGCAGCCAACAATCTAATGAGATAAATGATGCTGTTTTACATCTATCTGTAATAACTATGATCTATGAATTGTATTGATTAAATGAAACTAGGAGTTATAAAATACTTCAGATTTTTGGCTAATTCAAATGTATATTGCTTAAAGAAGCATTAAAAAAAAACTTTAAAGAAAAGCTATTTGAGAAATATTTATGTGGCTTGCAGATTGAACAAAAATAGGCAGCAGATCGTAGTTTGTCCAGTCTTGATATAAACTAACTAGTAGATGTATAAATATTATTTTTATCGTAAAATAAAGTTGTGATAAATTTGATAAGTGCTAATTTGCTCTCTCTCTCTCTTTTTTCCTCAAGTCATTATTCCACTCATAAAGGAATACCTGTGCTTTCAAAAACAACTTCTAGTCAGTGTTTGAAGATTTCAAGGTAAATATTTGCATGTTTAGGTATGTGAATATAATTAATGTACATAATTTGATTGTGTTTATGTGATCATATCTTTTGATGTTTATTTGTTCAAAAAAATGTGCTTTACTTAGCATTTTTAAAATTAGATTTCTGATATCCACTTTTTATGCAACATATATGTACATGTTAATAATTTTTCTGCATTATGAATTACTTATACTTACTAAATACTGCTTGAAACATTGCAAGATATGATTAGGTTATATTTTATGCAAATTGTTTTTAAGGCAAAATATGATAAAAGTTTTTACAGAAAATAAAGTGTAAAAATTAATTGGCTACGCTTAAGTCGAAGGCTATGTTTTTGTCCTTTCAAAAGAAGAACGTTTCCTTCTCACTCCAAAGTAAAATTATACATAAGAATCTTGGCATCAAGGGAGCTAAGGACAAAATGAACAATGTCATTCGTAACAAAGGAAAAAACTAACAGCCACTACTTCATATATAAAATAGATTGCCATATATTTATCTAAAAATGGACAATAAACAATTATTAATATTTTTCAAATATGTTTCAGGATCGCTACTTAGTTTCCTACTTTCATATTAGAGTTCTAGGTTGGTTCTATAGAACGTTTTAGTAGTGATTTTATTTAAAACTTGTTTTTATTCTGTATATGCTGTAATTTATTTTAATTTTGGAGATTTTTTTCACAGAAAACTTGCCAAAAATATGAAATACTTATAAGAAAAAGTTCACACCTAATCAAAATGTAAACAAAATGCGCTGATAAATTATAACATCCATTGAAAAGTAAAGCACATACTAAACTGAAAACTTCTGGGACAAAAATATATTTTTGCAAATGTAGCTTTGAGAATTGTATTGAAACTGCATGAAATTCTGAAAAAAAAAAACAAAGCTACTCCTAATATCATAGCGAATAGATCCAATCACAAAAGCGTATTGCAGCATTCTTATGAAAATTTAAGTATGTACTGTGCATACTAAAATAAAAATGTAAAGTAGCAGTTTTAAAATCTATGCTACATTTTCTGAACAGTAATATGACTGTACAAGAACTTTTGAAATATTATATCTTCTGTGTAGAGCATTGCAAGGTCACGAGAGGGTACGTCTGCAGATATTTAAAAAAAATGGTTGGCATAATTTATTGCTAACTATCATATTCATGGTGATGATGATGTGATAGCCGCGAATATGCAAGTTTTCAGATATCACAAACAAACGGCAGAATTTTCCAGTTAATGGAATTTTGGAGAAGTGTTAATAAATAAAGATATAACAGAAGTTTTCTGTTTAAATGAAAATGCCAAATTATCAATCAACTAACACATCGCGAAATCTGTAATATGGGTTCTAAACTAAAAAAAATATTAAAACCAGTAGTGAAAAAAGTGACAAAAAAGAATGTTAGAATTGTTGAAAATGAAAAAATTTTCATTGATAATTTAGCTTAAATTCTCTACATGGCAGTTACGGGATTTGAACAACAGAACTTTGAAACTGAACAAAAAATTATATCTATCTGTAAAATTAAAGAGAAAGTATTAGCACAAAAAACAAAGCGACTTAAAAAATTTACATTTAAAGGAATTGTTAATAAAGCAAGCAAATAAATATTGAGTGCCCCCTTTTTACTTCCTTGTACGAAGTAAAAAGGAAGTATTGTAATCGCGAAAAGTTCGGGCAGCATATTTCAACGAAAATATCCATTTTGACCGCTATCGAATGCAATTTAACGATGTTTTTGTGTGATATCTGTACGTAAGGACAGAATAAAATACTCTTTTCCTTCAAAAAAATTATAAAACTGCTTTAAAATTAATTCTGAAAAGAATTTTTCGTGACGTCTGTACGAACGTGCTTACGTACGTATCTTGCATAACTCAAAAACGAGTAGCCTCAGAACGATGAAATTTTGTATATAGGACTGCTCTAACATGTAGATGTGCACCTCGTATTTTGGTTGCAATCAGCCGCACCGAACGTATATAAATATATTTATATATATATCCACTCTGTTACCCGGCTCAGTGATCTCAGTTTCTTTACTCTCATATGTTTGTAAATTTTACATTTTTTGCTTTAAAAATGATTGAATTATGTTGTTTTTATCTTCCGGTTAAGGATTTTATGCCTTTAGTCAATCTGTGTGCAATATTTTTAGAATTTTCAGCAATTTTAAAGTTGTTAAATTGCCGCTAAGCCTTTTTTTAATGGCGGCCATTGATGTTTACATTTGAAACAGGAGACTAGTGGATTTGTTGCCAATCTAGAGAAACTTAGCTTCACAACAACAAAGATAACGCATTCATTTATTATTGCCAATTAAATCATGCTTAATTCTTTCTGGAATTTTTTCAAGGAAATAAGTGTTTAAGATTTACTTCGTAATTTTTAATATAGATATTTTGAGATTTTATGTATTTTTGTCTTCTCGCGAAGTGAGAACTGAATTAATTAAATGAGAAATACTCAATCGTCTGTGAAAAACTGTTTCTTTTTTGTTTTGTTTGCTTAATTTCTTTTATACATCATTCTAGCTTTATTATAGTATTTGAATAGAGCATGTGGCAACGATTAGATAATTCTTTTCTTTAAATGATATAAATTTTGTGCATTATGAGTTATAATATGAACGAAATGTATAAGTTAACTGTTATATAATTATTGGATTATATAGCAGTGAACTTAGTTTCCATTATATAATTATTATATAAGTCAACTGTTATATAATTATTAATATTGTTAAGTGAATCTAGCGCCCGAGTGTCGCTATGGTAAACAAATACTAGAGTGAATTTTAAAGAATGCATTTATTCTATTGTGGTTTATGCGCTGTCAGTGAAGTAGATTTAATTCAATCCAATAAGTTTAAATGAAATGCAAGAAAAAATGCGTATAATTTAATATTCCAATACAAGGAAGTCATGTGGTGTACACATCAGATTTTTTTATTATTATTTTTTAAGGTCATAAATGCTTTATTATTTCATATTTTTAATTTTTTAATTTCTACTTATTATCTTGCTAGATTTAAACCAATGATGTAAAATAAGGAATTGTCAAAATCTCAACAAGTCCAGATCTCGGACTTTCTACTGTATATGTATATATAAATTAGAAGAAGAAGATTATATCATCCTGGAAAAATTCCTTAAATTGAATTTAAAAAGTAGAGAAACCATTTAATTTTAGAATTAAGTAATATGCAAACTGAAAGATTAAAATATTTTTTTTTAATATTTTAAAAATTTTAAATATAAAAAGATAGTTTAATTACTCATATTTTATTGTTTCAGATCAACTTGTCTAGGAGTAATAATTTAAAACATTAAAAGAGTACTGAACTGACATTTCATTCCATTTGAATTTTTGAGCAAAACTAATATTAAGATAAAATAAAAATACAATACGAATTTCTATACAGAAGTATAAAATACTTGTGATATAGTGATTTACCCTTTCTAAAAGAGTCAAGCAATTATCTCAAAGCAAATTCAGATCTCGACAACTAAAATACAAATTACAAAACAATTCAAACAAATTTTAAAAAAAGAATGCAAAATAAAAATCTAGTTTTCAACATATCTATGTATAAAAAAAATACAATGATCCTTTTAGCCATAAAAATTTTAATTTACGAAATTTTTTTGCATAACAATTTTTCCATTTTGGCTAAAAACCTTAAAAACCATTATTTAGTCAAAAAAATATCAAAAACTTATAAACCTATTCTTTAAATGTGTAAAATGGTTGGATACATCCCCAAATATTAAAATACAAATAAAACTATAGGAAAAACTACTAGAATTTTCTGAACAAAAACAATATCGACTAAAATCATGAAATCTAAACAAAAAAATAATGCAGTATTTCAAATTTAAATGGGGAGCATGGAAAAAATGGAGCAATGTTGCCATTTCTTCTAAAAACCATTGAATTGTAGAAATAGTCAAACTACACAAAGTACTTTAAAAAATGCCAAATTGTTGAAGTATTGGAGTAAACGAGAATTTTGTCTGCAAGACAGAAGATTGAAGAATCTTCAAAAGGAAGTTTATTGTGCTAGTAGCGAAAGTTAGGCTTGCCAGAAGGTAAGAAGGGAAGGGCTATAGGAAGAGATCAATTTGATGGTATAAATATTTAATAAAATAATAAACTCTAAATATTAAATTAAAATTTAAATTCTAGCAAAAGTTATGGAAAAGGAAGGTAATACGTTTAAAGTCAGTAGTATTCACCCAGACATAGTGCTTATGGGGCTTTGAAACTAAATTAGGTTAGTTAGTAAAAGGAAGGGTTAGTTCTTTGGGTTGCATCTTCCCCTGTATTTACTACATAACTTTGCATATGACATTACTACATAACTTACATATTACATTACTTTAGACATATGTATTCTTAAATATGAAATGGATAACTTTTTATTTAAAATTTAGTGTATATTTATTGTTTGAAACACTTTTAATATGATTACATTATAGTATGTTTATCATGACTAACTGAAATGGATAATTATTACAGTATCTGACCATACAGGGTTTAGTAAATACATAGAGCCTACACAAAAAATCAGCAGTGTCCTTTCCTGGATTAGAACAGTTATATTACAAAGGCATGCAGTGAAGAAGGAGGAAATTCCTTTTATTCTTTCTCACCTAAAGAGCAACTGGGCTGAAAACACACTTGCCATATCCAAGTGGTGAAAAATTATTATCCACCGTATTTTAGTTTGGATGCCTCTTACAAGGTGTACTAGGGTTTTTTTAAGCAGGAATTATAAAAATTAGCAATACGTTCATCAGATTGGAATTCCAGACCTTCCGAAGCTAGCCACTTGTGCTACCAGTTTGCACCATGAAAGCTCAGTGACAAAACAGAAAATACTTTTTAAAGGAAATAATTTATAATTCCCTTATATAACAGTTTGTCTTATCTGTGAATCTTTTTTTTTTTTTTTTTTTTTTTTTTTTTTTCCTTTCTTAATTTG